TTTTTTTTTAACCAATTAAAATCGTTATGCGAGGCACCACTGTACCTGGTAGTATGCATGTTGTCCCATAAATGGCAGGTTTTCAAATATTTTTTTCTTCCCATCACATACTAACAAAGCAGTTTGGGGAATACATGCTGAATAGTAAATCTGATTGTGGTCAATGGGCAAAATCCAACTGGATACTCTTATGCCTGTGCAAGAGGAATTGCAGAGGTTGCCGTAGTTAATTGATGTGATGTCAACTTTGCAACTGAATTTTTGATCAGGCGAACAGTTTTGAGAACTCTGGGCATCAAATTTCTTCCTTCAGGGCTCTCCAGAGGCCACACAGACAGGTGCAAAAATGTAAAAAATAAAACTGGAAGGGCTAGTGTGGCAATTCCTCACTGAAGATAGGATGAGAGTAACATATCAGGGACTAGGAGTTACCAAAACTGTATACATTCCCTGTGCTGCTAAACAATAAATACTGTAATAATATTTTATATTCTTGGTAGTGTAATCCTTAAGCTAGAACTGATGATGTTCAACATTTATAGTTCAATGTTTTTAATATCCTTACTGGCTTCTTTATGGCCATCCTGTCTGATGCCTCCTTTCGTTAGCAAGGCTGGTCTAAACTCCATTTGGCTGTTCAGTTGTCAGTCCTTACTTTCTAAATCTTCCACTCCCACCTGAATGGTCCTGGCTTTGAAAAGGCTTTAGGAGGTTATTGTCCCAGTTATTTATCTGTCACAACAAAAGGTCAGTCACAACTGGTTTTGAAAAATGAGTACTTTAAGCTGTTAGGGTTGGGCCTTGTGACCTATTTAAAAGTTTAATTGCCACTCGTGGAGGCTTTCTGGAGCTACAATTCAGTTTTTCAGTGTTGGAGAAAGAATACACAGGGAAGGGCTGACAGTTACAAAAACAGACTCGTGGGACTTTCATGCAGCCTCAGGACTACACATCTGCAACAGAGCCTGAAACGTCGTAAGATTCTTAAAGACTTATCCTGTACCTATAACTTTTGGAAGTGAATTCTCTTGATAAATGAAATCTAAATTTCTTCACTTTTCCTCTTTCCATTTTAGGGCTACTTTTATAGCTCAGCATCTCAGATCTATGGTGTTGAAATGAATACAGAATTTTGTCAGTTGCAGGAAGCTATTGTTGAAAAATACCAACTCTTTGACAGAATAAAGGTGATACAACACATTTGACTGTTCTTTTTATAGAGACTGTTCTATTTATGGTAGGTTAGCAAATTTATATTCCAGCATTAAAAAAATTTCTGGGTTCAGTCACACAGACAAGTTGGGTAAAATTTAAACATTTTTAAAGTGTTCATATTTGAAAATTTTAGTTTTGAAAAGCTGTATTCTTAGTTCAAAATTTTAAAAGGAGACCAGAAGAATGTTATAAAATGTGTATATTTGTATTATTGAAGGGATACTGTAGCAGTGCAAATTGTTTTATTTAGCTAGCTAACAATAAGACTTTTTCCAAAATAATAAGATTAGTGAAGTATAGTAATACTTGGGATTTGTATAGCACTTTTGGGTGTTCAAGCATTTCTCATGCATGACCTTGTAGTAGTTCTTATGACAATTCTGGAAGGAACTTCCAGCTGTTTAGACATGTTTCTCAGATTGTGAGAAATGTTTTGAAGCTAAAGTGAGAGGCTTGCTTAAGGTAAGGAGATAACTGAATGGTGGTGAAACTCAGAACTTAGTCTCTCAGCCACAATGCTGCAGTAGCTAACAGTGTTTCTCAAACCTGGGTCCCCAGATGTTCTGGGACAAAAGCTCATAGAGTTACAGTACTGGCCTGGATTTCTGGGAGTTGAAGTCCAGGAATATCTGGGGAGCCAAGGTTGGGAACCACTGAGCTAACAGAAGATGAAATAATAATAATAATAATAATAATAATAATAATAATAATAATAATAATAATAATAATAATAATAATTGATGATGATGATGATGATGATGATGATGATTTCTGTGCTGTGAAGTCAATTCTTACTTATAGTGACCCCTTTCACGGTTTCCTAGATATGGTATAGTGTACTCAGTAGTGGTTTCCCATTTCTTTATTCTATTGGTGCCCTGGGACT